TATTCTATTCTATTCATTATTCTATTCTATTCATTATTCTATTCTATTCCTTATTCTATTCCATTCCATTTTATCCTATCCATTTTAGCCACCCTAGATGCTGTTTCAGGACCTCTTTTCAGAGCACGACACCATAGTCTCTCGAAACTGAAGGATGCCAATGTGAAGGTATAACTTCCCAATGGTCCTTAAACAAATTGTTGTAACTTGAAGGCTACCTGTATGCAGGACGCCTTTACCTGGATGGGGAATATCCCAGGCACCACGGGGCAGCTGATGCCGATGGCCTGGCAGTCCATGAGAAATTTGAGGAAGGTTTCCGTCCGGAAAAATAGCTGCGTAATGACAAAATCGGCTCCTGCGGACACTTTTTCCTTGAGGTGTTTCAAGTCATCGATGTAGCTGTTGGCCTCGGGATGCCCCCCAGGGTAACCTTCCAAATAAAAAAGAGACAAACGGTGAGCTTCGGCCTGATTTCACCTGTGTCCTTATCAAAATATCCTCCGCGTAATTCACAGTCACTTTGACAGGGAAACTTGTTCTATAGAATTTGAAAACACAGTTTTCCTAGACCCACTCTTTGTTTTCCTCCATTAGGCCTCCTTCGAAATCAGAGAACCTGGCTTGCTTGGTCTCAAAGCAACGGTGAGATGCTGCCAGTTCGGTAGAACCGGTCCAAACCGGCAGTATCCCACCACTGCTGGCCCCGCCCCTATGGCCCCACCCTATCCGGTCCTATATTTCTGTGTTTTTTTCAGCTCAGCTGATTTGTGCGGCAAGTGGATTCCCGCGCCTCAGCTGTTTTACTTACTGGGTGTCAAGCCTCCAAGATTTCTTCTTCTACTTGATACTTTCCGGCAGCCATAGAAATGGGGGGGAGGGGGGGAGGAATAATTGGTCCTAGTGGGGGGAAGGGTGCTGGAGCTGAAGTTGTGTGAATTGTAAAAGTTGGGATGCTTTCCTGCTTACTGCGCAAATGCAGCCACTTGAGATGACCCGGGGTGTGACACAAAAATAACCAAGTCACAAAAGTAAAATAAATTCCCTTTAATGCCTCCAACTTGGCCCCAAGGTCCAATTATCCTCAGCTGGGTAATAAAGTCTTCCAAAAACAGCCTACGAAGGGCAGAAATGCAGCAGTGCGAACCCAAAGTAAAGGTAATTAGAAATTAAAAAAACCAACACAAACCACACTGAAGTAATTAACATGGCAGGCCAGGGTGATAAATTGCAGGCTTTCACCCACAGTTGGGAGGATGCCAAAATCCAGATAAGCCTTGACCAAGATAATACATGCTTTGCTTCCAGCAAGGAGCTTTGTTCAAACGCCCCACTTATATCCTGTTCTCCCAGCTGCAACTAATGAAAGGGATCAGGGCCTTTTCCTCTCCCATAAGCCACGTTGCTCCCTTCTCTGTTCCTCCCTAGGTGCCCTAGGATGAAGAGGGGGTGGGCCTGGGTCTTCCTCTGAATGCCCAGCCGGCCTGTGCCCTTCCCCCGTTTCTTCCACAGCCATGGGAGCCACACTCCCACTCCCTGTCAGCTGCTCAATTTCCCCCTCAGAATCGGACTCCAACAAGGGCATGACACACTTATCTTTTCTAGGCCAAGGTCAACCGTCTTGGCATTCCAGATGTCTGAGACGCCACCTGAAGATGTAACCCACATGACATTATGCACACACCTCGGATTGGATGTCCAGTTTGAATTGTTGGGGGTAACTTTCTATATGTGATTTCCACACCTTTTGCCTCAGATCTTGCATTTCTCCTGTTGCTACCACTTCACATTCTGTAAAAGTCCTTTTCTCTATAAAAATTGAGTCTTAGTTTTTCTTTCCTGGATTTTGAATGGAGCCACACCTGACACCAGGGCTGCCATAGAAGGTAAGCTATAGTGCTTGAAATTGTTGTATTTGGAGCGCTGAAGCACACTCTCGTAGAACCGGTAGTAAAAAATGGTTGAATCCCACCACTGTCTTAAAGCCTCCTCTTTTTCCCCGGGTCATCCAGGACCCAGGAAAAATCCAGAAGAAGGGAGGTTTCTGAATTAAACCTCAAAACGTGGGTGAAATGCACGAATCTCTCTCTAGAAACTTGCATGCTGAGTGGCCGGGCCATCTGATGTTTTCTGAGACACAGATGGAGTGTCAAGCCCGAAATTGACATACGCGTAGCCATTTTATTTAGCCTTATTATATATTCCCTTTCTTTTTTCTCTTTGCTGGTTATGGGGGGGGAAGGGTTTCGGGCTTGCCACATTCCTAAGGTCGGAGGAGTGGAGATTCATTGTTTAAGCTAGGTGGTTCTCCTTCCCGTGGGAACAAAAGCTGAACCTGCTGAGACCTGGAGGTGGAGACTGATGACACCAGGCAAGGTTGATTTACTTCTATTGGGGAATGTGACTTTTGGGAGCTGTTTCTGATTTCCAATATTATGTGCTATAATTCCGGGTTGTGTCAGATCCAGAATTACAACGGACGTTGCCAATTTGATGCTTTCCTAAATAAAAGGAATTGTTTTGGAAGATGGACTTTGCTCTTTTCTTTTTAAATGGATTTCGTCACTTGGAAACCTGACACGGAGTCTCAGTGTGTATCACCGGACAGGTAACAAAAGATACATTTTAATGGCCGTAAAAGTGGCAAGGAGGAAGTGAAACTTGAGAAGTGGAGAAACCTGAATTTGTTGTTTGTTAGTCACAAAGTCAGCTGGGTGAACTTAGTCCAGCTTCTCTCCCTCAAACCCAAGAAAACCATGGCCAACAAGTTATGAGAACTTTGCCCCCCAAATGGCAGAGACTGGACTAGGCCACTGCCAGGTGTCCAAAATGACCTGAAGAAGCACCACTGCTGGTCGGAAAAGATGGATGGACCCTTGAGGAATGTCTTGAGAAGATCAGGAGAACTTTGTATGAAGCTCAACTACTCACCGGCCACACAGAGGTCAAAATAATCGTCAAACTCCTGACGGATGTGCTTCACCAGATCCACTGCATGGTTGAAGCCGTCCAGTTCTTCTTCCCATTCTTCCCCGACAGGATCTGTGGGAGAAGGAGACCCCACATTCTTCAGAAAACACGGTTCTTCCTTCCCATGGAAGGAGAGACCATCTTTGTAGCCGTTTGTGATGACCCGGGGCATGGCACAAAAGCAACAAAGTCACAAAAGTAGGTGAAGTCCCTTTAATACTTCCAATGTCCAGTTATCATCGGCTGGAGAAAAAACTCTCCCAAGAACAGTCTTTAAAGGGAAGAAATTCAGTCCGAACCCAAAGTACATATAGATTATAAATAAAAACCAACAGAAACCACAAGCTGCAGCAATTAACTAGACAGGGAAGGATAAGGAATTGCAGACTTCCAAAAGATAATGAAACACATACAGTTGGGAGGACGCCAGAACCCAGATAAGACTTGACAAACAAAGATAATGCACGCTTTGCTTCCAGCAAGATGCTGTGCGCAAACACCCTCTTTAAATCCTGTTTTCCCAGCTGCAGTTAATGAAGGGAATCAGGGCCTTTTTCTCCCCTGTAACCCACGTTGCTCCCTTATCCATTCCTCCCTGTGTGCCCTAGGATGAAGAGGGGGTTGACCTGGGTCTTCCTCTGAATGCCCAGCTGGACTGTGCCCTTCCCCAGTTTCCTCCACAGCCACCGGAGCCACACTCCCACTCCCTATCAGTTGCTTGACCTCCCCCTCGGAATCAGATTCCAACAGGGGCATGACACCGTTCCTCACCTCCTCGCAGCGCCATAATGTTCTTCAGCCCCAAACGTTTGGCCTTCTGCAGGTGGGCAGTGATGGTTTCCCTGCTCTGGTTGCAACAGGTCATGTGGAGAATGGTCTCTAGCCCGCAGTAGTTGAGGGCAGTGGTGGCCATCATCATGGACGAGGTCTCCTTATCGGAGCCCGGATCGCCAGCCGGATGCCAAGTGACGTCGATGAAAAGGGGGCCGCCTGCCCCCATGCGGTCGAACCTGCAAGGAACAAAAGAAATTGGTTATCTTCAGCTGGTAGGTGTCTATGGAGTTTCTCAAGTCCTCCTGGTCATGGTTGTCCCAAAGGTGCTTTTTCCCCCCCAAGAGGCAACTGGACTTTCTGGTTTTTTTCTTTGAAGGTGCTTCATTTCTCATCCCAGAAGCTTCTTCAGCTCTGTTGTGGTTCACCGGCAACAGGTGCGGATGGCTGAGGTCTCGGAGAGCGAGGACTCAGAAGAGGGGCCTGCGTGTGAGGCAGGGGTGGGACCAGGACCATCAGGGAGTGGAAGGCTGCCTTCGGAGATTGTGGAGGCTGGCAGCAGTGATGAAGAGGCCCCCGAGGAGCCTGTGCCCAGTGCGTGTGCCCGCAAAAAAGCAGCTGCAGCAGCACTGGCGACTCGGGAGTAAGGCTGCAAGGTGATGGCCCCTCCCCCTTAAGAGATAAAAGCCAGCTGAGAAACCGGAGTTCTTTGCAGGAAGCAAATAAGTTTTTGCACTCAAGCCTTGTGGACGTTCATACTCTCTTAGTTTGTGTTTGGAGACTCTTTGTGTTTGAAATATTTCTTGGCAACTTTATCTAATGTTCTTGGCAGCCTTGCACAACCTTGGCAAGGCTCGTTCTTACCAGAGACAATTAGTTTGAAACCGCCTTTTAACCGGGAAGGAACGGGAATTCATAAAGAATCATTAAAAGGTTTTGCCGTTACCTCTGCTTCGTGTTTGTTTCCTCGGAACAAGATTTGGGTCAGAACAAGCTCTGACTGGATGGTGGTGGGAAGGGAAGGACTGATCCTCCTTGCAGACAGCTGGTCATTTGGGGAAACAAAACAGCCACTTCATAAACGCACACGGCACAACACAGGAGAACAAACCCATCAGGACTTAGATTCAGCAGTCCATTTGCATTTGAAAGACAAAAGCCGCTCTTTTGAAGACAGCAAAGTCCACATGTTGGACAGAGAGGACCGCTGGTTTGAAAGAGGGGCTCAAAGAGGTCATCTATGTCCAAATTGAACAGCCCTCCCTCAACAGAGGGGGAGGGATATGACACCACCTATCTCCAGCCTACAACACAGTTCCAAGAAAGCTCCACACCCGTTTGCACCACTCAGGTGACCCTGAGGACACAGACAAACCTCCAAGTGGCCTCAACGACTCTCTAAAAAGGATGCAAATGACCAGCTGTCTGCAAGGAGTATCAATCCTTCCCTTCCCCACCACCATCCAGTCAGAGCTGAAGAAGCTTCTGGGATGAGAAACGAAACATCTTCAAAGGAAAACCAGAATGTCCAGTGGCCTCTTGCGGAAAAAAACAACACACAACCCTTTGGAACTTCAGCTGGTAGGTCATCAGAAAGCAACCCAAAACATGTTACGAAGAAAGAGCAAGAAGAATTAGAGAGGCACCCAGGTTAAATTGGAGTCAGATGGTTCATCAAATTCATTAAGGCAGATCATTAATGGCAATAGCACTTAAGACTTATATACCACTTTATAGTGCTTTTCAGTCCTCTTTAAGAAGTTTTACAGAGTTCAGCCTCTTGCCCCCAACAATCTGCGTCCTCATTTTACTGACTTTGAAAGGGTGGAAGGCTGAGTCGACCTTGAGCCGGTCAAGATCGAACTGATAGCAGTGGGCAGGGTTAGCCTGCAATGCTGCATTCTAACCACTGGGAAGGAAGGAAGGAAGGAAGGAAGGAAGGAAGGAAGGAAGGAAGGAAGGAAGGAAGGAAGGAAGGAAGGAAGATCACTTAAGATTTATATGCCACTTTACAGTGCTTCACAGCCCTCTCTAAGCAGTTTACAGAGTCAGCCTCTTGCCCCCAACAATCTGGGTCCTCATTTTATCGACCTCAGAAGGAGGGAAGGCTGAGTCAACCTTGAGCCTGGTGGGATTCAAACTGCCAAATTGCTGTAAGCTGGCAGTCAGCAGAAGTAGCCCTGCAGTACTGCACTCTAACCACTGTGCCACCACGGCTCTTATTAATCAACTTGGAGCCTCCGTGAGCTGCTTCTTCACCTGGAGATGAGATTCACAGCTCCGTTGGCTGTCCGGGGAGGAAAGAATTCCAGGGAAAACCACTTGTCACCGGATTCCTGACGGCGACGCATTTTTTCCCGCAGGCGCTCATGACGCTCTGTATCCAGGATGGGGGTGGAGCAGCGGGAGCTGTTTTGGGAACTCTCCCCACTGCTGCTGCTGTTGCCGCCATCAGAGCGGGTGCCAAGGCCGTTGCTCATCGGAAGAATCTCGTTGACCATGGTGAAGGCCCTGGAGAAATGGGAAGAATGCCAGAAGGTTCCAGGTGAGGTGTGATGACTCAAAAGGGTGTGGCACAAAGGCAACACAGTCAGATAATCAATAAGAGTCCCTTTATTAGCTCCAACTTTGCCCCCAATGTCCAGGTTACCTTCTGGCTGGAGAAAAACTCTATCAGGAACAACCTTTGGCTGCAGAGAATAAAGTCCAAAATGTGGTCAACAAAAACTAACTAAAAGTCCAATCAAGGTAATTAGTTCGGCAGGGCAGGAGCAAGAATTCCAGATATGAAGGCACGGCAATAACTTAGTACGGTTGGGAAGATGCCAGGAACACAGATAACCACAGTCAACACAAGATAAACTCATGTTTGTTCCCAGAAAACTCCGCACTCAGCATGCATCTCTTTCATACTCTCTTCCCAGGCAAAAACTAACTAAAAGTCCAATGAGGTAATTAGTTCGGCAGGGCAGAAGCAAGAATTCCAGATATGAAGGCACGGCAGTACGGTTGGGAAGATGCCAGGAACACATATAACCACAGTCAACACAAGATAAACTCATGTTTGTTCCCAGAAAACTCCGCACTCAGCATGCATCTCTTTCATACTCTCTTCCCAGGTGTGCCTAATGAAGGGAATCAGGGCCCTTTCCTTCCCTGTAAGCCATGCAATGCACGTTGCTCCCTTCTCCATTCCTCCCTGAGTGCCCTACTGAGTGCCCTACTGAAGCAGTAGGAAAATTTACACATAAAGCACTTTTATATTTAGCAGAAGTCCCCCAATTCCCCAAAGCTTTGCTTAATACAAGGGTACCACCAGAAGAGGAAGTCAAGGGAAGAGATACAGATTTTGGGGGGGGGGGGGGGGGGAGAAAGTTTGTGTTCTGAGAGTAAAGATTTGAGATGCTCTCTTTATGTCCATAAACAGTGAATACACATATTTCTCAAGAAAAATACTCTACTCCTCCACTCACAATAGAACTCCCCGTGCCCATGAGGTGGCATGCAGAGCCCTCTTAGCAGGCACACACACCATCGCCAGATGCTCTTCTGGTTTCTGGTGCTGGTCTCCAAAAACAGGGTGTTTTTTGGGCCGCTTTCAGGCCATTTTTGGGGCATTTTCCGGCGTTTTTGGCCTGAAGACGGCCCAGGATACAGATTGAAAAACAGCCTGAAAACGGCCAAAAACGACGCCCAAAACAGGCAAAAACCAGGCATGCACGCACCGGACAGCTGGTCTTCGGTTTTCTGGTACTCCAGCAAGCACACATGCACATTCATGCCCAAACATGGTTTGGGCACTCGGTTTCTAAAATGTTCGCCATCCCTGCCCTCTGCCTCCAGGCTGGAAATTTTGGGTCTGGACAATCTGGAACCGCGGCGCCTGCAGTCCGATCTAAGCATAGTACACAAAATTATCTGCTACAACATCTTGCCTGTACAATGATTTCTTCAAGCTTCAATCACAATAATACACAGGTAAACAACCGATATAAACTCAAGGGAAACCGCTCCAAACTCGATTGCAGAAAATACAACTTCAGCAACAGAGTGGTCAACGCCTGGAACGCTCTACCTGACTCCCTTGTCAGAGCCTCAACCCCTCACAGCTTCAACCTCAAACTGTCTCCCGTGGACCTCACCCCATTCCTAAGAGGTCCTTAAAGGGGACGCGCAGAAGCGCACTAGCATGTCTACCGTCCCTTGTCTTACTGTCCCCCATTTGTCTATATTTACTCCCTTTGTCCCTGTTTATGTTCCTACGTACACTTCTTATCTTGTACATGTTTGACCAAACAAATAAAATAAAATAAAAATGTTGCTTTAAATCACAGTCATACGTACACTTCTTATCTTGTACATGTTTGACAAAACAAATAAAATAAAATAAAAATGTTGCTTTAAATCACAGGGTTGAGAGAGCTGCAGTGGATTGTGGGGGAGGAAAGAGGGAACATTATTTAGCATTGGATTTAAAAGTTGAGAACCGAGTAGAATTTAGGAGACATTGACTGACCTGGTGTTGGTGTTGTCCCGCTGAGTAATTTTCCACCGGGGTCTGGGGCTTCCCTCCAGTTTGGTTGACCGATTCAGTCCTTCCAGTTTGCTAATATATATATTTTTTGGTGGCGGGGGGAGGGTTCAAGGGCCAAGTTCACCCCAGCATCTGCTCGGTGGATTGGACCCGGCCCATGTTGCTGGATCCGATCTTCCTCAACAGTCTGGAGAAATGCAAACACTGCCAATTGCCCGAGAAGAGAGCCAACACCTTGTAGGTGTCACAATATGCAAAGGCAGCAATCTTCAGGCACCCCCTTATCTAAACACCCCCCCTCTCTCTGACAATTGGTGCTTGGCTTCTCTACCAATGGGGGAGCTGGGTTTCCCAGAGAAAGCCCACCTACCCCCACCCACCCCCCTTGTTTGCTGAGCAAGCAAAGCTTGTCTTGAGGGTGAGATTATCTCTCGGAGAAAGAAACAACAGGAAACAGGATCCCAAGCATGCATTTTAAAAAAATAAAAAAATAAAAAGGACAATACCCACCTTGCAATGGGTGTTTTTTCGGCCAGCTCCATCGGACAAGTCCAAAGCAAATCACAATGGCCCAAAAAAAAAGCTGAAAGTTTGCGTGGGTCAAATCTCCTTAAATTTCTCTTCCGCAGCAGGCATGGTGGAGGGGACAGCTTTTTCCTGGCCTTTACAATAATAATAATAATCATCATCATCATCCAGCATATTTATCTTGTTTACTGTGTACAGTCATTTTTTGTGCATAATAACAAAAACAACAATAACCACCACCACTTGAACACCACAGGCATTGACAAATTTGCCATCAGTCAATTGCAGAAGGCAGCTTCACTTGGAACAGCTTCCATCCTGCGGTGATATCTGTAACACCATTAAACATCCAAACATACAGATCCTTGGTAATGACTTGATAGGTAGACAAACATGCCAAACCCAGTCTGAACATCTGGCTGACTGTGCGATGATGATGATGATTATACAGACTGACAAAGTTTTGAAACACAATACCCCGGATATCATGATTGTAGAGAAGAAAAAAGTGTGGATCGTCAACATTGCCATACCTGGTGACAGCGGAATCAATGAGAAACAACTTGAAAAAGTCACCAGATATCAGGACTTGAGAATCGAACTGCAGAGACTCCGGCATAAACCAGTGCAGGTGGTTCCAGTGGTACTGGGCACACTGGGTGCTGTGCCTAAAGACCTAGGCAAGCACTTAAAAACAATTGGCGCTGACAAGATCACCCTTGGTCAGCTGCAGAAGGCCACCTTACTGGGATCTGCTCGCATAATCCGCCAATACATCACGCAATCCTAAACACTTGGGAAGTGTTCGACTAGTGATTTGTGATATGAAACCCAGCATAGTTATCTCATTTGCTGTGTGCACTGTTGTTTTTGTGTATAATAATAATAATAATAATAATAATAATAATAATAATAATAATAATAATAATAATAATAATAATAATAAATATAATAATAATAATAATAATAATAATAATAATAATAATAATAATAA